CCTGGGTGAGATCCACAGGAGGATTTTCACCATCGTTTGTCTTTTTTGCATCGAACCAAGGATGATACTATCTCTTTACAAGGGCTCTAGCCGACGTTGACGTGTTAGGATCCATGTCCGATTTGCCACAAGCTGGAGGTTAGGTTGGATGTTACGTTGCTGGCAAGGGGATGACGGACGAACCAAGAACGGTCTGTGCAAGGCCGGGGCCCTTCTGCTTCGAGCGAGCTATTGGGTCCTTTATTATCTTGTTGAGCTGGCGGGCTTGGTATCTGGCATGGTGGACAAGTCAACTCTCGGTTATGATCGGTCCTCTCTAGCTCGATGTCTCGACTCATGCACATATGGTAGCTTCTCATGAGGAGGCTTCATATCATGACAACTCAAAAAGTTGCTTTGTGATTGATGTTTTGATTGAATCGTGTTTGGACAAACAATACTAGGATCGCAAAAGCAAATCTCACACCCTAGTTCACAACGAACCGAGGCTCCCCTGGACAAGTCGCCAGAACGGCTTAGGGCTCGCGCATCTCATGACAACGGTTGATCGACATTCCGAGAAGAGATGACAGGATTGACCCCAAGGCTATGCAACGCAACAACGAGGCCCTGAAATCTCTTGCGAAAGGGGGGTTCTGAAGCTTCGTCTCCACGTCCCCAGATTTCCCCGCAAACTGGACGGGCAACTAGAGATGCAAGTTTTCATATCGGGCTGCCATTGCCTTGACTTCACGTGCTGGGCTCCTTTATTATCTCGTAATAGTGTCGCTGTTTTGACTAAAAAGTCGGACCAGGGGAATCCTCAACAAGTCTGGCCGACTATTTGACGGGCACCCTTGATCTCCAATATCCCCGACAAGAAGATGGAGAACCCTACCGACCCCGCGCCTCTTGTGTTGGTGTGTCATGAGATTACCACCGTGGGGATGAAATTGTGGTACTCGGTGCCCAAGAAAATACATGGCCTGTCTTTAAAGTTCGGCCTACGAGTTAACTCTCTGCATCTCGGATTGTCACCGTCGTTGTGCTAGCTCGTGCGGCCATGACATTCGATTCTTTTCAACTTCCGCATGCCGAGCGTTAGAATTGTCAGGCCGTTGAGGGCCGGGCCCTGGCCTGGTTGCAATGACGGCGGTTTGCGTATTTGTTCATAAACCAGCCACACCATCTTCTCGTGTGAGGCTTGAACGTTTTTAGAAGGCAATTTACACGTTCGAAAACGATCAAATCGCCGCCGACACATTTCAATTTTATGTAGGCACATGCCCTGGTACCCATGAAACCCCGTGGGCGAGACAGCGTTGCTGCATGGCATGGCATGGCTCTCCGCTCCGACAGTGCAAAAGTTCCACTTGATTCACATCGACAGTTTGAAATGGGTCTCGTGCACAAGCAGTGGCCCAGAGAAATTGAGGAGAGGCTGATATCTTGGCTGCAGCCAGTCGCGTTCTACGTCGACCGTTCAAATCTGCATTCCTGCTTCCTCCAGATAGAGCGGGACGGTCATCATTACAGTAATACTTCTTATTCGTCCCCCCGCATTCCCCAGATTTTCACGATGCACTGGAGGGGCGGAGCAATGGTATTGCTCATGAAGCCTCATCTCCACCACAGATGGAGTACGGCACTTGTAGGATGTAGCATCGCCAACAAAAGACAGCATCTCATTGAACCGAGTGCCCAGCGTTAATATTACCGACCCAACGCAAATCATGGCGACTCTCAACTTAACTCTAGTCAGGATATCTGTCTTGCTCATCACACACAGGTGGAGACTTGAATTGTGCTTTACAGCTTGACAAGATGGCATTCGAAAAAACCACTCCCCTTTTTTCTACCTTTCACTCTCGCCGCTTGTACGTAATGTCCAAGACGGCCTTGTCTTGGTACTGTACAAAGCCCGACGAAGGGCCGGTAGTGACGAGGCTTTGAAATCTCTTTAACTTAGAGTTTCTCCTACCACTTAAGATTGCGTTTTTACTGCTCAACTCGGAACAGTCTCTAAGCCAAGTGGCTAGTGCAGTACTGTAATCATGAATTGGTCGATCTGAACCTGCATTTATTTGGCTCCCGTCACTTGCTTTACCGCTTGGTGTGCGGCCGTTCTTTGGTGGGGAGGGTGGCATGCAGACTTCTGGAAATCCGGGGAAGCGCGAAGCCACTGTTTTGATTCGCACGCAAGAGATTGACTATCAGGCAGAGGTGGCGGTGGGTGGTGGTGGTTATCCAAGGTGAAAATTCATCTGACGGCGGAAACCCTTCCGCAACCCGAGCAGAGGGCACCTACTGTGTAGTGCAGCAGACTGTTGGTCACCTCGGTGCGCGGTGGACGATCAGTGATCGACACTTGATAGCTTGATCGCTAGTCTGACCAAACTGTGGCTTGACCAGATATCCAATCACTCGAGACAATCAACCGAGTACAAGATGACGACATAGGATCATGATGTCGCCGTGTGACAACTCTGAGATAAGTATTCATGATGTAGGGTAAAGACCAACAACATGTACTGTCTGCGCATGGCAATGATGAGCTTCACCTCAGAAGCTCGGCTGAATGCCCATGACCTTGGATCGAGATTTGCTTGTCAATTAGAAAGACGAAACGCGAGCGTTGATGCATGTCGCCATCACATATCGTTACTCGTTAAAGAAGACATGATGCTACGTCTGTTGGTTATGACAGCGCGATGAGAATGTGCGCTTGTCACATTCAAGGTCCTGACAGAAGAACCGAAACAACCTAACAGGTGATGCTCTTGCTCAGATAGTCCCTGAGTATGACATCTTCTGCTCTCTTGCAAAGCACTCATATATTTTACGCCCGACTCTCTTACACGATCACAGCCATGTTCTTCTGAAGCCATCTCTTCCAAAGCTCCAATGGCATGTCAATGAGTAATGGTGCAGGGTAATTCCCACAAAGAGACCAACGACAGCATGTCATATCTACTGGCTCATGGCTAACAAGCATTCAGCCTAGAAGCTGGTCCGACTCGACAATTTTCCCATATCAGTTGTTTACAAACTCTCATCTTTTGTGGCCAAACAACCATGGGTAAAGTGTCAAGGTTGGTGATAAGCATTGCCAAAGAGGGACAGATGACATAACAACACATGTTGCTTGGTGCCATCCTTCGTTCCTGATGCAATCTCTTTCGCGGCGTCTTTGGCTTGCCACGATATCGGGAACCTCGGGAGTTCCAGGCAACAAAATAAGCTCGTTATTAGAACGGCGATTGGTGTCCCCCTGTCAGTGTCAGAGCCTGGTGGAAACAGGCCGTTGCTGACATGCTTGTCGCAACATGTTGGCACAGTTGGAATAGCTTACTCCAGATGTATCAACCAACGACCTGGCTTGAAAACTGGTAAGATGCAAGAGTCTTGGTCGTCAAAGCGTACAGCACTTTCAACGCTGCAACGAATTTTGAGATTGTTGTCTCATTATTGCTTCAATCGGATTCGAGCCGTCTCCAAAGTCATCAGCTGGCATCTGCATGCGAACTGTGCTTACGTACGATACGAAACGCATATACTTCCGACGTTGCACTTGAGTGTTATTATAGAGGAACTTGTGTGGTTTGTCGAGTCTTGGATATGACATGGCTGCGCTGGGTTAGGAACTGTTGACAAATACTAATATCATATGAGAAGATTTACTTTCCTTGTACGACATCGCTTGCGATTTGGATGTTCAGAAAGAGTATTTGCGGTGAGTTCTACATTGCAAACTCTTCGGAATTGCTGAGACTGATACCAAGCTACTCTGGTCCTTGCAATCAGTATATTGAGACAATGTGCGCTTACATTGTCTGAAACTACGCCAGGAGATCAGATGTGCATATCAACAGTTTGGCACTTACACGCTTGTACAGACTAGAGTCTTAATATCCTTTGACGCTGCGCTTTATTCCTCAGCCTTTTGACAAACCAATTCGTGTGTTTGCCTTCTAAAGTATATAATTCTATGCATAGTGTATTAAATGATATTATATGTATCTCTTTACTGTTAAGCTTACATCTCCTTCCGGATTGTCAGCAAGTCATCATCTATATGTATCTGTTATCCTGCTCATCAATACTTACAACACTATTCGTCCAAGCCTGTGTTTCACAAGAGGTTTGAAAAGTGTCGACATGGCTAAAAGAACAGCAGATCTCTATGTGAGGTCGAGGGATAAAACCACTCACCGTTAAATACTTACTAATCTCCAATAAAAACTGGATCGGGACAGAAATGACTAAAATTTTATGATTTCGTTATTGTTTGGTAGGATAATCTCTTGTTAAACTGTTGCCTAATAACGGAGTTCGAACCCTTGGATCAACGCGGAAACAACTAGGCAGCATTTTAAAGAAAATACTGTTGAGTAGTTTTACTAAAGCGGATTCAAATCAATATTTTAGGCATCTGAAACAATTCCCTTGCGGTTACTGATAGGATTGTAGGTGCCTGTTTTTTGGCATTCCCAACTATACAGGGTAAGCTACTTCGAGACGGTTATCGTAGTCCTGGAAACCATTGAATATATGCAATATATGTATTATATTGGAATTGAACACTTGTATTAGTCGTGATATATGTATTGGCGGTAATCAAGTTAGTAACTAAACGTATTACTGGAGAAGTCAGTACTTCGAGCCTGGCATTGGTGGCATACACAGAGTTTAAAGCAAACCACCCATTTTTCTTCTAAGGTATCTCAACATGACACAAACAAGGGAATAGTGTTGTACAATAATTTCCACAATTTGGTTATAGATGACAATCGCAACGGATCATTCATATTGTTTATTTGAATTGATTCAAGTCACGTGTAATATAAAGGGGGTTGCTGGGTCAGCGCGCCACTGCAATCGTTCCTGCATCAAATCGTTTAGGCACCACCATTTACAACGTTATAAAGAAGGCATCTCAACCGTGGTATCGGTTTTTAGCCAACACGAGAAGCTATTCATCATCACAGAAGAGTGTCTAATAGTTACACACCGCAACAATTATGGAAAAATTCATCATGGACAACGCTCAGCGCTACGATGACCTGGTGAAGCGCTTTAAGCCAGCGCCTATCAGGGCCAAGCCAAGTGATGAAGAGTCGAACCCAGATATCATCATAGCCACTCGCATTCGACCTATGATGGAAGACGAGAAAGAAGAAGGGCAGTTGATCGGTGTTTTCCCTCGGAAAACCCTACCGGGTGCTGTCGACTTACACGAACTGAGGAGACCAGTCAGGGGTCCTCCTACTCTGGTCGTGAGTGCATGGCATGCCATCAAGCAACTTGGAGATGTTAACGAGATATAGTCATCAAACTACCGCGTGGATAGAGTTTTCAACTCTGATGACACAACCGATGATATCTATCAAGAGCTCGTTGAACCTCTTGTTCCATGGGCTTGGGGCGGCGGAATTAGTACCATGTTCGCCTATGGCCAGACTGGTTCAGGCAAAACACACACCGTTAGCGGTCTCGAGCGCCTCATCGCAGAGACTTTGTTCTCCAAAGGTATCCATGGCAAACGGAACATTTACGTTTCTATCATCGAACTTGCGGGCAACTCGACCTTTGATCTTCTCAATTCTCGAAAGTCCATCTCTATCCTTGAAGACTCCTTTGGAAACACCCATCTTGCAGGTGCTTCCGAGTTCATTGTCACCGACCCAGACTCTCTGATCAAGCATATCGATAATGCCGCTTCTTTTAGAAGTACCGCTTCGACACAGAAGAACGACTCTTCGTCACGCTCGCATGCCATTTGTAAGATACGCCTGGAAAATCTAGAGCTGCCACAGTCAGATGATGGACTCCTGTATCTCGTGGATCTTGCAGGTTCTGAGGCGGCACGAGATGTAACGGAGCACTCAACCCAGCGCATAAAAGAATCGAGAGAGATTAATGCAAGTCTTTCAGTACTCAAAGACTGTATTCGTGGCAGAGCGAGTGTCGAGCCAGCTAGTATTGCAGCTGGAAAGAAAGTCTATGTGCCATTCCGGCAGAGCGCTCTAACAAAGGTACTCAAACATGTTTTTGACCCTGCGGCTGAGCGAAGCTGCAAAACCGTAGTCGTGGCTTGTATTAACCCGAGTTTCTTGGATGTTGGCGCTACCAAGAACACACTGAGGTACGGGGAGATGTTGAGAGTCACTGTGCCCAAAGCGGCGGAGCAGAAGTATGATGCTGCGAAGCCCAGCACTTGGCCGCATGCCTTGCTCCAGGACTGGATTTTAAAGAATGTAAGTTGTCAGCACCCCCATTTAATTAATCCATAGTCACTGACCGGTATCTCAACAGTCTGGCACGCCGCCAGTTTCTCCCTCTTACCTCGCACCTGAAGAGAATGGGATACAACTCCTTCGTCTTCCGGTTCCAGAATTCGTCACTCGATGCCTCAAGACACCAGGAGTCACATTGGAACAAGCGACAGCCTTCCAAGCCAAGTTCTGGCGTCTCCATATTGACTCCCAGCGCAGCAAGCCAAAAGCAAGCCAGAAGAAGGCTTGTTTAGAGACAGAGAAGGATAGTCCTGGAAGTAAAGGTCTGTCAAGTAGTGACCCGAGGCCCGAAATGGTGGGCGTCCCTTTCAAAGACCGTCTGCGGCCGGGGATGGTGGTTAGCTGGAATCCCGCAGACGACACTCCTGGATTCTATCGTCTACCGGGGCGCAATCTCGTCATAATCCTGAGCCCCGAGGGCGAGGGGAGTTTTCGATGTGCCGTCACGGTGCCTGCTATCATGCCGGGGGCATTCGAGATTTACCTGTGGCAGCAGGTTGTGGCCTCGGTCGATACCATGGAGACAGAAGTGTTGTTGGAGTATGATGTTGGAACGAGATACTATTACGAAAACGTGTAGGGTTGTGGTAATGAGGGCTTTAGATCTAAGTTGGCGGCGGAAGTTTATGCTGAATCAATGTCTCTACGAGAAGACATTCGACACCAAAACGTTGATATAATTGGGATTCAAGATACATCATGACTGCAGAAGTCGAGTGTCGAGTAGAATATGAATGCCATCAAATATTGACCAGGCTATGCCCGATCATTGTATTATTTTATCTAGCTGTTTTCCATGATTCTGGAAGCCTCTCATTAAACACTGCACCTATGTTCCCCCCCAACTGGGTATCTCGTTTTAGATTGATGGGGATTGACGTGGGCGCCTTTTCCTTGTTTCGTCATTCATCATGATCTTAAGCCGCAGGCTTCTCAGCAAGGGCCTCGAGAATGGGCTTCTCAAGGCTCTCAGGCTTGGTAGTGCTGGCCCATCGACCCTTGACCTTGCCATCACGGCCGACGAGGAACTTCTCAAAGTTCCACTTGATGCGCTTGAGGCCGAGAAGACCGGCTTGCTGGTCCTTGAGCCAAACCCAGAGGGGGTTGGTGCCGTCACCGTTGACCTCGGTCTTTTGCATGATGGGGAAGCTCACGCCGTAGTTGAGCTGGCAGAACTCCTGAATGTCATCGTCGGTGCCGGGCTCCTGGCCGCCGAACTGGTTGCAGGGGAAGCCGAGGATGACAAAGTCGTCAGGGTACTTGCCCTTCAGGTCGGTCCAGAGCTTCTCAAGGCCGGCATACTGAGGGGTGAAGCCGCACTTAGAGGCAGTATTAACGATGAGGACGACCTTGCCCTTGTAGTCGGCGAGGGGAACCTCTTGGCCACGCTCTGAGGGGATAGAGTTAGTTGAGTGAGTCTATTTGCCATGAATGAAGTGGTGTGTTTCAAGGCGGGGTATGAGTATGATCAGAGAGGGAGAAGTGAGTGAGAGGGACATACTGTCAAGCGGCTTAAAGTCGTAAAAGCTAGTAGCAGAGGCCATGTTGGACGTTGTATAGTTTCTGTGGTGAAGTATTTGTTTGTTGAGAGATGAAAATGGCGGGGAACTAGAAGGAGGAAAATGGATGGTTGTGTAAGAGTATTTATTAATAAGGCTGGAACTTGATGATGGTTGTAAATTGTTGACGACAAATCTGGACCAAAGAGGAGCACGCCACATGGAAACGGGCAAGGGAATGGACCGGGACAGGGACCGGGACAGGGACATGTTGATTCAGTAAAGCAGTAATTGGTCGCATTAGAGAGCAATTGATAGCATTGAATGGAAGAGCATTCTATTCTGCTGCCGTGCTCCCCTTCTACAGAGAGTACTACAGTACAAGCCTCGGCACTTGACTCCATTTTTGGTTTGGTGACGTATTCGAGGTGGAGTGGTTCGGGGTCTCGAATTCCGCCGGTACCGATGAAAATATAAGAAGGAATATCTCGAGTTTTCGTATTGACCAAGTTGCAAGTTTACTACGATAGATAGATTAGCAGTCAGTAATTTGTTCAACATGACAGGAGAATGCGGTTAAGAGTTTCATGTCTTGGCAGTCTCTAACTTGCTAATCAGAAATCAGATTTTAATATAGAGTCTAATGTACCTGTGCTTCATTCAATACCTACTGAATGAAGCACAGGTACAAACAGCCTCAGTTGTCATTGCCTTTAATCAATGAATCGGTCTTGTTATTAATACCATCTCAATGGTATTTGGAATCAATTTACATCGGTGCAACACTGCATCCGAACATCCCATCACTTAGTCTCGGCTCGGTAATAACTCCGGTTCGGATTGCACTGCCATTTTGAATCTCAATCTCTTATCGATAAGCATAAGTAGCTAGAGTGGCAGGTTCATGTAGTGGCGTCGTATCTGTACGTCACCTTTGGATTGGTTCCTCTCCATCTGACTCCATCCCATCTCAGCCCAAAGACGTTGAGAGTGAGTGCGAGGGCGACTATCATGCCAAGTATATACACTCAATTCTAATTATCGACTGTCGATTGTAGTTTATAGCTAATCAATTTATCCTTCATTGTCACATCATGGAGGGCAAGAGGAATATTGTCATCGTTGGTCAGTCACCCCACCTTAACAACACCCTTTGTTATCTCATCTCATGATCACCGCATATACCTCGACAGCCTCGTCATGATACTCACCTCACTCATGCAAAACTCATCAAGGCTGATAACCCTACAGGAGGCGGTGTTATCGGATCCACAACAGCATACTACCTCACCCGCCATCCCAAGTTCAACAAAGCCCTGCATACCATCACTCTTCTCGAAGCTGCTCCCACTGTGGCAGCCGGCGCATCAGGCAAGGCTGGTGGTCTTTTAGCACTATGGGCATATCCGGACTTTTTAGTTCCCCTCTCATACCGACTGCATGCCGAGCTCGCCGCTGAACACAATGGTCCTCAGAGATGGGGTTATCGTCAACTTGGTTGCGGTAGCTTTGAAGCCGTAGTATCACGCGATAAACTCAAGTCACTTCAAAGCAACGGCAGCAAAAACCAAGGCCACGATGGTAAGGAATGGGAGAAGCTCCCCAAGCAAAACGGTGCAGCAAAGGAACTCCTCAAAGCAGGCAACTTGCCAAAGGATCTCGACTGGGTGGACCGCGAGATTATTGAGAGCTGGTCTGAGATGGGTGCGCCAGGCAAGACGGAAACATCACAAGTACACCCCCTACACTTCACGACATCGATCGCTGAACTGGCGCAGCAAGGTGGCGCCCAAATACACATCAATGCAAAGGTGACAAAGATCAATTCCTCAAAGACTGGTGTCGAGAGCATAGAGTATCTCGATCGCGACTCAGATGAAACAAAGACCATCCAAGACGTGACAGATGTCGTCGTGGCGGCAGGCCCGTGGACAAATAGAGTGGTACCACGAGCCAAGATCGAGGGTCTAAGAGCACACAGCGTGGTCTACGACGTCAACCTCAGTCCCTACGCAGTCTTTACAGACATCCAGCTCCCACCAGACTTCATTCCCGAGCATCGTGCGAAGATGGGACAGAGGAGGAGGCACAAGGGCAATGTTGACCCAGAAATCTACGCCAGGCCATTCAATGAGGCTTATGCTTGTGGTAAGTACATATGATGATATCGATGAAATACTTCTGACATTTCATAGGTGAGCCAGATACAAATGTACCACTCCCCGACACAGCAGACCAAGTAGAATGTGACGAAGCTCAATGCGACGACATAATCTCCTACATCAGCACATTCAGTCCCGTCTTGGCTGCTGCACCTGTCAAAGCCAAGCAAGCATGTTACCTCCCACGACATATACGGTTTGGACAAGAGAGCGGCCCTTTGATCGGCAGAACGACAGTCCCTGGCCTATTTGTTGCCGCAGGTCACACGTGTTGGGGCATTCAAAACGGCCCCGGAACGGGTAAGCTCATGTCTGAGTTTGTGTTTGACGGGGTAGCCAAGAGTGCGGATGTCGAGAAGTTGGATCCTCAGAAGTTCAAAGTTTAATGATATTTCGTTTCGTTGGAAACATGACATGAGAAGTTGGCACATGCAGCAATGGAAAAATTAGGATAATGGGCACGAATGGGTTTCATCGAGACCGAATCTGCAATTGTTGAACATGGCCCATATCGATATGCGATAATCGTTTACCACATTTGAGACAATCTCAATACTATACTGCATCACAGCGTTGTATCCTATCGTCCTGAAGTTGGGTTATAATCAGACCATCACTCTGCAGCGGTTCGTTGACGTGTTTCAACAAAGACCCTGTACGTATGTAGCGCAATACGAAAAACGTGATCACAGACCAGTGGCCCCAGTCTCAACCACGGCTCAACACTCAGATATCTAGGGGTATCGTACAACTGAAACATGACGGCGCCGAGGACGGGCGCTATTGGAATGTGAAGAAGAAGAAAAAAGTCTGACCTTGATCGGGGCGCACATGGCGGTAATTGAGCAACCCCGAAAAAGAAGAAAGCTTAGGTACTCTGGCTAAAGAGGAGCCCGGGAAAGAGAAAAGAGAAGACAAGGATGTTGATCACGTTAATATGACTGCAAGACACATGCTTCTGTCACCTTTGGCGGTTTCATCTCATATGCAGACACATGATACATGTGAACTCTAAAATAAATATGAGTAGGCGACTTACTAACTCTCATCGGTATCCCGCTCATCGTGTGGTTAGTTAGTTGTTAACAGCCGAATTGATTAAGATGACAATTGCCATCATCAGCTGTTTGTTCGTCTGTTTGCTTTAAAAAACTAAGACATATTGGGCATCTTCATCTCGCCTTGCTCAGCTGGCCGGTATATTTGTAGCCTGTTATAAACGATAGCAGGTGTAGATCGGCCAGGGATCCATGGATCTCACCTTCAAGGTAACATTCCGCTTCGCATCGTCCTTGTTTTTCACCGTTAGGTTTGATTTAGCCCAGCCAGCCTGGCGGTAACCGTATTACTGTTGCGGCCTGTGCTAAAGAGAAAAACGAACAAGACCTTGGCGTTAATGAGACTAATATTGGCTTTAACTACCCAACTACCGTGCTATCCGGCACTAAGAATTAAAACAACAAACAAGACCCTCTTCTTTTTTTCTCTTTCTCTCTTTGGGTTTGAAAAGGCTCTGTCCGTATTACCGTAAAGATAAATGGACCTCGGTCCAGGCTTCCTATAGAATGACTGGCTGGTGGATTTATATGAGACATCAGGTGGCCTCATGCGAGTTGGCTCGGGCCGTCAAAAGCAGGGAGGATTATGACTGTCAGGATACAGATAATGAATGTCTTAGTCAATTCCTTAGCTGTCGTTTACCTCGTTATGAAGTTAAGCATCATTGGATCCAAGCTTGCGCAAGCACCAGCCGATATTGAGGTTAGTCAAATCCACTACTGCAGGAACAAGAGGAACAAAAAAAGCAAAAGCAAGAAAACAAGACAAGACAAGACAAGACAAGAGAATGAGAAAAACAAGACGCATTGAATTTGCTTTCCCGATCCCCAGTTATTATCGGAGCTCATGCATGAAGCTGGACTTGAGTGGAATCAGTTTTTATTTCTGCCAATTGGTTAGCGTCTTGTGTAATCCTGCCTGCTCGCGGGCATCATTGGAAAGATACATGTCTACCTACTCTGTAGCATCAATCATATTCTCTTCCGATCGATTCGGACCCATGTTAATATCCATTCAGAATGATGTGCCGAACTGCGGACGAGAACTGATGACGACTACCTATGGGGCTCAAGCTTGATTTTCTTTTTTCTTTCCTTTTGCTGACAAAACATTTACTGACAAGAATTAAAAAAAAAAAAGAATATTTTATTCAAGTAAAGTTACTGGCTGTGGGTGGAATTGCAAAGATCATGGGCCCCCATGCTTTGAGTTATTAGTCACTGTCTGTTGCTTTCTTACACACTTTCATCAGCGAGATATTATTACAAGCCCGTACAGAATGGGGTTGGACGGCCGCTGAAATAAATGGATTCAAGCTGCAGTGCAACGCAATGGAAGGGTCGGTGAAGGCAAGATTCGCTTAAACCATGACCAAGAGTTAATTACATACATTTGTCATTTGTTGGCTTTTTATGCGTTGAGTAACAGACTGCACCAACTATTTCTCACGTGCGAGACCCGAGGATCCAACCGTGTTTAACATATACCAGCAAGTATCTAGTCTGGACACATCGACAGATATGCAGCCTACAGGCTGAACAAGAAAAAACTCTGTTACAAGGGGTTGAGGCCTTCCTAGTCCCGAAACAAACAACCATAGCGATCCGTGCTCTTTCAGCTAATCGAGAGCGACCCTTGTAGCATTTATGGGCTGGCGAGCAGTTCTTCGGGCGTTTTGGCCTGCAAGAAATGTCATTGTGAGACAATGGTCTGGCAGCGACGAAAGCCCGGGCCACTTGATCTGGAACAGCCAGACAACAACCACGACTTGTCCATGTATCGAGTTTCTTTAGCATTTTACTACACACTCTACTGTAATCTGTCATTGTCCCGGGTAGCAATGATAAGCAAAAGCCAGCAATAAAAGAAAAAAAAAGAAAAAAAGATCGGCGCAGTGGGAATAATCGTGATCGGCCATTACAACCCGCTGTAGTAGCTCAGCCACCGTTTTTACCACCTCGGAGAAATGAGAGATGAGAGACGAGACTGTTGGTCAAGGTAGCAGCGACAGTTGCCGAACTGCGAGCAAAAAGTCACATGAGGAATGAGAAACAAGAGACAAGGATACGAAAAAAACGACAGACAGACAATATTGCTCATCAGAGTTTCTCAAACTCTGGCCTATCCCTCACCGTGGTAGTATTCCCCATCAATGCCTTGCTCCATTTTGAGTCAGCGGCTTTTTTGGGCCCTTGTCCCCGGATGGAGTTCTGTGAACCCTCAAGTGTGCCAAGATTTGCATGTATATCATCTTAATTGAAGAACTCACATGATTTTTGGGGACATGATGTGAACAAGTTAAATAAACATTCAAGGTCCTAGCTCTCGCTATTGGATCATTTGTCAATCAATATATCCAAGTAAGGATACATGGTCTTTAATATCAGATCTCTTATTACTCCAGTAATCTACAGCAAACTCATTTATTATTAGTACATAGCTCTCCCTGGCAGCAATCCAAACCCAATCATGGCTTGCCCAAGTCTTGGCCATCATTTGAGGAAAAATAGAGTTTCTCCAGTCAATTCTCTACCTATATGCTCCGTACTGTGCGTGTCTTGAACGCCCGTTCGTTCATGATCGATTAATTAATTGGGTTTGCGGGCACAACAGAGTCAAGAGTCAGACTCAGAGTTACATCGTACCTCTTCAAAGCCGAGTATGTGCGGATAGGATAGTTTGTCGATTATTCCCCATCCACCCGCCCACTTGTTTCCTAATAGCAGATGTCGCATGTATTTTGGGTTTTATCTGGAGTAACACACGTATGCAAACCGTCATCTCTGCTGTGCTCTTACCAAGAATGTCCACAGTCCAACGGCCCAAACCGTTGAATAGGGTCTGAGCGCCGGGTCTCACAACTGGAAGTCTTTCTTCGTTTGTACACGTACAGCAACAGTATTCCGCTCTCTCGAACCCTTTCTCTGCCCGGGTTTTGGTAGAGATGATCATCAACAATACCCAAGCACAAACAACACTTGTTGGTAGGTAGACGGTACTATCCCGGCTCCGTATCCGTAGGTTCATCACCAATATTAAATGTCGTGTCTCAAGGAGCAATTCGGGCTGCCAGAGGTGTCGACTAACCGACTACTAGCGGTTTATAAACCCTGGTGGCCGTTTTTGAAGACCGACAGGGGTTCTCCCTGCCTTGACCCCTGCCCCTGCCCCCGTGTTGTCTCCCCAGCTCGCCTCGCTGAGTGGTCTTTGTCCCTGTTGCTATTCCTCCTCAAGAACAGTTCCCACACTGCTGATGCATGTCCTCCCGACCATAACGCACTCTCACTTGCTCTAGAGGTGGGCGATTGTGCCATCTTTTCGTACCTGCATCGCTAGGCCGATTGGTATTGCGTGATTCTATATTCTCGCATCCAAGCTGAGAGTGAAGTGATGTAACACATTAGATGATGGATGTATCGCAATAATTGAATCAAGGGAGGCTCAAGATGATCAAGTTTGAATGTTTCCCTTTGAGTATACCCGAATAGGAAAAGTTTATCGTCTTGTCCTCCTTCTCCGTTTCTTAATCCTGCCTAGGTTGTTTACAACCCCCTCCCCTGGACTCCCTTTCCCTTCGCTTCACTTCCCCTCCTGGCTTCTGCCCTCCCTCCCTTGCATCGCTCGTGCCTGAGGTGGGTGGGTTTAGTTCAAGGTAGGTGATGGCTTACCCATTGATCCCCCATAACATTAACTCGTAAGGCAGCGCCTTCCCCAATACGTGCAAATCACACAGTACCACCACCTACTGCAATTGCACCTACAGTCTTGAGTCTTGTTGGCTTACAAGTTCCTCCCACCCCCTCCCATTTTGTTTTGTAGAGAGCCTTTCTTCTTCTCGTCTCTACTCTCCCATACTGAACTTCTTTGCTAGCATTGCTCTCTATTCTTATTTGTTTGTATATCCTTGGCTCAGCTTGCCTCGTTTCTCGCTTGCTTCGCTCTTTTAACAGTCTTGCTCACTCACCACACGGCCTCCATATCATTGACCCAAGTCGCTCGCTCTTCCAGTCATCGCTCTGCTTTTGCCACTACCACCACCAACGCACTGCTGATATCTGTACTTTCCGTTCTGGGTAACAAGTCATCGCCGGACTTATTACCCTATCAAGTTGATACCTGCGCCATATCATCACGGAACCTTTTGGTTTGAGCTGCGATCTACAGCACCAAGACGGGAACCCGCATTTCATTCACATATCGCCTACTGGCCAGCTCCAGTCTACGTTGCACCTTCGAATGCACGACTACATGTCGCGCAATTCTTAAACGAGACTTCGTCCCAGGATCGCCCCAAGTCTGGTTATACAGAGTAGTTCGCGTTACCAGCTTGCATTCGAGCAGCACGGAACCCTACCTATGCCGCTCTGATCTGCACATAATACCCAGCCGACGTTCTTCACGACGACGCTCACCGTTCGTCTTGTTGACTCTAACGCTGCGCCGACTTTCTAACCCTGGGGGATCTTGCAGCTCACCGTCATGGTTAATAGAGAATCAATCTTGCCCAATAGCGGCACTTTCGAAGCGCTTCAGAGCCATCATGCCCCATTACGGAGAAGTCGCCCACCGAACATTGATACGATGGCAGCTGAAGAGAATCGCGTACCTCTAAAAGCTGAAAAGGCAAGCAGAAGAGAATCGAGATTGGGCCTGAGAAGCTTGTTTAGTCGATCCAAGACACCTAAGGACCTGACAATTCCCGAGACGCCCACGTCTTATGGCACTTATGGCAGTCGTACATCTCTTGCTGATTCAAACCCTTATTTCTCGTCCCAACTTGATGTCACGTCTAATGATATGCCCTCGTCACCTCTAAGCCCACGCATTCTGTCTACGATGTTTGAGAGTCAGCAAAGCCCGTCTGCCCAGCCGAGATCAGCCGGTGCATTAAAAGTTCAGAGTCCAGCCAAGGCGACGCGAGGGCCACTCTCGAGCTGGCATCCTCCTCCTCTGTTCAAAGCATTTCCTCAAGCTACCAAGCACATCACACTGCCAGCCACCTCTCTGGCTCCCGAGGTCATTCTACGTATGCACGAGCGACGAACCAGCACCACGCGCGATGATGCCGCAGAAGTTCCGGAAGGCGAAGTCAGCCCTGTTGAGAAGACAAAGTTTAAGAAAAAGCACCGTCGTAACACATCTGGGCCTGCGCCAAAGTTTGAATGGACCACCAAAATCTACGTTTTAGTGACAGCTGGGTATTTGCTACAATATGCAGCCGAAGGCCCCTTCGACCGGCTACCCGAAAGGATATTGCATCTCACCAAAGACTCTGCGGCATTTGCTAGCGACGTTATCGCCGGCCGCCACTGGGTGGTTCAAATTTCATCAGCTGCCGAACCCGACGGAACACCAAATGACGAATCACGTTCTCTGTTCTCTCGTTGGAACTTTCGAGCCACAGAACGGCGTCATGCCTCCAATCTTCTCATGGTATTTGAGTCTGCTGCAGATATGGAAGGCTGGATCGCAACATTGCGTCGCACGATTGAGACTTTGGGTGGAAAGAAGACGCTCACTGAGACAGGCAAGCCTAAGGCTGAGGACGAAACGACACCCCTAAGGGAGAGACCCAGCCAAAGAACCTTGATAGTGAGAGATCCGAACCGTCTATCACGTATAGCGACACAGAACTCCCAGAGTCCTCAAAGTCCCGAAAGCCTGCCAAGCCCCCGATTTCTACCATTGCAAGGCAGAGTCGACACCAGCCACTCCATCGCAAGTGTTACTCAACATGAGCCTGTAGCCGATCAACCGTTAGATGACATCTCTACGACCAACAGCTTTGTGTCCCATGATGGTAGGCAGTTGGACAGCTTGCGCGAGAACTCAAACCGTCTATCGTTCAATTCATCTGGTCAACGAACGGTAGTAACATCGGCCGGGTCCTCTCCAGAATCGTCACCAATTATCGATAAGTTCCCAGTAACTGGAGAAAACAAGACATTCCTTGAGGCGCCACCACTTTCACCCGAGCCAAAGCCAAGACCTAACGCTGCAGCGATCTTGGATCGAAGACAATCAATGCAGGTCCTCGGCCCTTTTGTTGAGCTGCAAGGCCCTGCCAACATAAGACCACAGTCCAGCTATGGATCCGGCGCGACTAAAGATACAAAGACGCCAACCCCTAATTTCAGTGTGCCAAAATCATCAAATCGCAGATATTCTTTTGCAAAGAACATCGCCCAGGAATTCGGCATGGCGCCCCAGTCTGGTCCCCTGGAGGTACGGTCGTTAGGCCGTAGAGCACCTCCCACGACTTTACCAGTTGCGAGACCTTTGTCCATGGTTGCTGATCAGCCTTCTCCGATGGAGGAAATGCATGAACGGCCTGTAACACGGCACGGAGACGAAACACAATCAACTATGCCAACAAGTTACGATTTGGCGTCTTTGCCTCAAATTCCTTACTCTTACGACATACATTCACGGCGGTCAAGTCTGGCACCGATAGACGAACCTATCGTTGAGACCAACCGCCCAACGAGCTCACGCCTGCACACAGACGTCCGTCAGCGGCGTAAATCCGAAAACCCTGGCGCCTTTCCACGAAACCCGACAAACTCATCCCGAACAAGCCTGGAACAAAAGACACGCTCACGATCTTCTCTTATCGGTGCAGATGAGGCAGCCCGTCGCCGTACTTCTCTTGATGCCTATAGTGATAGACAAAGCGACAGTATGTCAGCTAAGATACGGGCACAGAGACGAGCCAGCGTGCAGTCTGTGATGTCGGATCGGGCATCTCAGTATAGTACCTCAACTGATCTTCCTCCCCCTATGGCGCCAGAGTCTCTACCCCTAGCTGCTCCCCCGCCCACAGTTCCTCTCCCTCCCATTCCCACATCCGCCAGCAACCCTAGTTTGGTGCCGGATATCGGTAGAAAGAACCTGATGATTCGACGAAGCATGCCTCAGTTGAACGAAGTACCCCCGCCCATGCCTCCACCAACATGTGCGCTGCCTCCCATTCCACCCAAACTACAACTCAAGGCTTAGCCTGAATTATACCCCTTCCCTTATTGTTTTACGGCCACTATGGAGGCGCGTCTTATGCGATTTTTATGTTTAATCTAAACGATACTCCATTGCTATTGTCTCTTTTGTTTTTTGGGTCACGGAGTCATACCTGTACCATATAGATCAGTTGGGTTAAGAAGGGACATGCTGCATTTTCGGCTATGCGATCATGTCTTGGGAATGATATCCACGTATAGGTTTAAAAGGGAACGGACTATTGGAAGCTATACAAACTATAGTAGAGTCAGATGATCTCGTCTCTCTTGTAAGATAGATGAGTCTAATATTATTACTTTCCAAAGCATTCTGGAAATATTCCATGCAAAACTATCGAAGCTTTCTTTGAGCTTGGCCACATATTTGGGCTTCTCGATGTCGTTATAGCGACTTGGGCAAATCTCGACGTACTCACCTCGATCTCATTGCTTTAACACAAAGATGTTATCGTATTCAAAACCCCAAGAGACTCCCAAAGAACCACCTCTATCTTTGATGGTTTGCCAAGAGCCCAGATTAATAACGTCACTCACTCAGAAAAGGTCGTAATAGTTATTTCTGATGCAAATCATTGGTTTTTTATTCCCTTCGGATGGTTGAATAATGTTAGACTAGTCAAATTCTGTCTGATCAACATTGTCGATGAAAGTCTAAATAGGCCATTGAGAATGATGTTTCCAATGCATCATGTCCTTCAAGGTCAGATGACTACTATCTAAATTCAAAAACATGCTATGGCTCCTTGACAGTGAGTGGAAGAGCGTTCATTGCCTGTTGGGAAAAGGTTTAGTGTTCTTAACCAATGCTCTTGGACTCTACTCGATAGCATACCTCCGTTCTTAAAGACCTGGAGGTTGAAAATATTGAATTGAAAACTTTCCAGCACAGGAAACTCGTCGAGAGACTGCCGTGACTGTCGAGACTGCCGAGCTTCATCGCTGAACTCAATGCTCTAGATGAGAGCCACATATTGATTCGCTGACTGTTGTTTCATCAAATCATACCACCGAGTACGTTCTGGCTTGAGAGGGTTACAGTTAACAGCATGCAGGCAAATGCCTTGCAAGCTCCTCTAGTTAACATGATGATCAACTTGAAGGAGAGTTTTAGAACAAAAGGTCGTCAATCGGCATGTTAAGAAACAAAGCAAGTGTGAAGGGAAAGATGGAGATTTTAGACGGAGCAAGTTCAGGTGAATCGGAGCCTCGCCTCAGTTTTACGTCTTGTTTTATAATTGTTGTTCGAGGCTCTAATTGCCTATCATTACTTGTAGTTGTCCCGTTACTTTGTCTTGGTCGCAATATGAATGGAAGGCAGAAATTAAATTTGACAAACAACAATTTTGCTATACAATGAGTTATGCATGAACCGCGAAGCATTCCCCCATCACATTCTATGCATTAATGTCTAAGATAGTGTCGTAAAGTCGTAATCAAACAAGCTCAAGAAATAAATTATGTACCTCTCCATGATCGCAATATCGCATCATCTACCGATCTCGGCTATATCTCCTCCTGCTGTCTCTCCTGGGCGGCGAATAGTCTCTTGGCGAGTAGTCCCTCGATGACCGGTATCCGTCACTCATCAAGGGGTCTCGACGATACCGATCCTGACTGCGTCGTCGTGAACGACGCGGGGGCGTAGAAACGCTGTGCTCTTCTTCCACAACGATCTCGTTGTCGGATGAAAGCATCGAGTCCTGGACGAAGCGTGGAGCGGGTGGATCGACGATAACGCGCGAGGCCTGGCTCTCGCTGACGAGAGGAGATCCTCTCCTACGGCTCCTGTCCCTCGACTGCACCGTTGTGCGAGACCGTGTTCTCTTGGACCTGGATGTAGCTCTGGATGTGCCTCTGCTGCGGGATCTGTTCCTTGGCCTGCGGTCCCTTCTGCTTCGGAAACTTAGGTACGTGGACGTATCGCCTGTGACTGTGCTCATAGGATAGCCAGAGACAACCGTGGATGCACCGTCACCCATGGGTCTAACGACGGGACCACGATGAAGAAGCATGTAGATGATGTATAGTAGGAGGAGGAAGGCCGCTACGGAACCGAGAACGATGCCAGCGACGGCGCCGGGGTGGAGCGAGGTATCGGCGCTCTTGTAGGCTGTTGGTACGGCTGTAAATGATGTCCTTGAGTCGTCATTTTGGCGGACAGTGAGAAGACCGTGATGTCCTGGGTCTGAGGGTATCGTCGTCGATGGAGGGATGGCAGGCATTTTGTCGTTGTTTGGACGCCTATCGCATGGCACGGAATGGCCGTAAGAGCAATAAACGATAGCTCTCTAAGTTCGAGGGCAATTGTTCAAAAAGGACCAGAGTAGAGATAAAACAATAATGGGGCTGTTTTGTTTGCAGAGTAAAGTAAATGGGATATCTCGGCATCGAATTGAGTAAAGTTGCGCGGTGTTGCACGTCCCCTAACCCAGTGCAGCCCAGCCACGTCGTTTTTCTTCTAATCGAACGTCATGCCCTTGCACTCGCGCGCGTTCAACGGTAACTAATTTTTACCGAACTGTGAGCTATTTAAGAAACTCGTGTTTGAGCTTTAATTGATTTGTTTGTTATTTTAGTCTTATTATTTTGACAATTCAAGTCTCTTCGAGTCTGATGTCGGCTTCCGTCTGTAGCAGCCCGCCTTCCTACTATGGTAGTTTGTTTATCAACGCTGCAGTTCTGGACGTTGACTGGGTCCTGGGTACCTAGTGATAAGGCCATGATGGGCTGAGTTATTTTGTGGGGCAGGTCATGATGCGCCACAAATGAATTGTGGCTTCACTTTTAGACAACTTATGCAACAACAAATGGGACATATCTCATGATACTGAAGTGAACGTTACTGAGTTGAGATTGGAGGATAGATGCACTGACTTGCGTCATAGGATTTATAGAGCTGTTGACTGAACGAAGATTTGTGCCGTGTATTGCATGATGAAAGAACAACATTTATAATTCTGAAGATGGTATACAAAGCCTTACAGGATTTCAACCAAAGCATCTTCTATTTTGCAGTCGCTATGCCGATAGTTACTAAGCAGCAAGCGTATATACTATGCTATATGAAATGTGTAGAAGATAGAATACATAAGTGGTAGGACGGTGAAAGCCAAAGCTGGGAAAGAAAAGGACGGAATTGGATTTATATTATGTTTGTCGTCTATATAAAGTAACCTAACATATATGTATATCTCGAACAGGCCTTGTACGCTCCCAGTCATTCTCTCAAGGCGAGACAGTGAGGAATTGCAGCTACGACGCCATAGGCATATCGTCCACGCCATCATGCATTCAGTATAGCTAAGCCAGGTATACTGAACCGTAGTGGCATAACACCAAACATTTGACCGTTCCAAAGTTAGATAGACGGATTGACTTAGTGAATAGAATGTATAAAGCTATGCACTTCATCGACATGACAGGTAGATTGCTAGGTATCTCGTATGCCCGAATCAGAGCCGAAGCTCATCATCACGTGCGGTAAAGCTTTTTCGCAGCCATTTCTGGGGAATGGGCACTTATTAATGCCTAGCGTTGAGAGCGGGCCTTTGCGCCGCGTCCGGCGATTGCTGGTCTCCATTGGCTCCGCAAAATCGGACGTACATACAGCCGGACAGTTTTCTATAATCACGGTGGGATCAATTGAAAGCTTGTAACAATTTTTAGGATAGTATCAGAACCAATTCCGTTCTGTGCACAGCTTACAGTTACTTTTCTGTTTATCTAGGTACCCCAATTCCTCAATACCGCCGTTGCCGGTAGACTTTCCGGCCTCGAGTTTGCCAGAGTCTTCAGGTAACTTCGGGGTGGGTCTTTGGGGAACAACCATGGTCCGAACCTAGCCGGTGTGGAGCGCCACAGTGCTTGCCTCTTTCCTTCGGCTTCTATGACTGACTGGGGAAGAGCTTTTCTCGAGGTAAAAAAATTCGTTCCGCTCGATTCCATCATCCCCATTCATACTCAATCCTGTAAAATACCACATCCCCCATCTTCTCTCCGACTCGCGCCTTCATCCTTTTTCTTTTACTGTACTCTATACCCATATTTCCATAATCAAGATGTTGGCTTCGCGTTTGTCGAGAGCTGTAAGTAACCCCGCTATACTGCGATGTAATCCAATATCGCCCTTTGTCCCACAATGTACTGATATTCTTTTCAGCTTCCCCGAGCTTCACCTCTCGCCGCTCGATCGGCTGCCTTCACCCGATCTCCTCTGGCCTCTAAGTTCGCTCGTTATGAGTCCACTGAGTCCGACGGCAAGATTCAGGGTGCCGTGATCGGTATCGATCTTGGTACCACCAACTCTGCCGTCGCCATTATGGAGGGCAAGGTTCCTCGCATCATTGAGAATGCTGAAGGTGCCCGAACTACCCCCTCAGTCGTCGCTTTCGCCGAGGATGGTGAGCGACTCGTCGGTGTCGCTGCCAAGCGTCAGGCCGTCGTCAACCCAGAGAACACCCTCTTCGCTACCAAGCGATTAATAGGACGAAAGTTCAAGGATGCTGAGGTTCAGCGCGATATCAAGGAGGTTCCTTACAAGATCGTTCAGCACACCAACGGAGACGCCTGGGTCGCTGCCCGTGGCCAGAACTACTCTCCCTCCCAGATTGGTGGTTTCGTCCTCAACAAGATGAAGGAGACCGCCGAGGCTTACCTCTCTAAGCCCATCAAGAACGCCGTCGTCACCGTCCCCGCCTACTTCAACGACTCTCAGCGACAGAGCACCAAGGATGCTGGTCAAATTGCCGGCCTCAACGTCCTCCGTGTCGTCAACGAGCCTACTGCCGCCGCTCTTGCCTACGGTCTCGAGAAGGAGGCCGACCGCATTGTCGCTGTCTATGATCTTGGTGGTGGTACCTTCGATATCTCTATCCTCGAGATCCAGAACGGTGTTTTCGAGGTCAAGTCCACCAACGGTGACACCCATCTTGGTGGTGAGGATTTCGACATCCACCTGGTCCGACACCTTGTCCAGGACTTCAAGAAGACTTCTGGCATTGACCTGTCTGGTGACCGCATGGCTATCCAGCGTATCCGTGAGGCTGCTGAGAAGGCCAAGATCGAGCTTTCTTCTTCTCTCTCCACCGATATCAACCTTCCCTTCATCACTGCTGACTCTTCTGGCCCCAAGCACATCAACATGAAGCTCAGCCGAGCTCAGCTTGAGAAGATGGTCGACCCTCTCATCAGCCGCACCATCGAGCCTGTCCGCAAGGCTCTTAAGGATGCTGGCCTCTCCGCTAAGGAGATCCAGGAGGTCATCCTTGTCGGTGGTATGACCCGTATGCCCAAGGTCGCTGAGTCTGTTAAGGGTATCTTCGGCCGAGACCCCGCCAAGTCTGTTAACCCTGATGAGGCTGTCGCCATTGGTGCCGCCATTCAGGGTGCCGTCCTCTCTGGCGAGGTTAAGGACCTTCTCCTCCTCGATGTCACTCCTCTGTCCCTCGGTATTGAGACCCTGGGCGGAGTTTTTACGAGACTTATCAACCGTAATACCACTATTCCTACCAAGAAGTCCCAGGTCTTCTCCACCGCCGCCGATTTCCAGACCGCCGTCGAGATCAAGGTCTACCAGGGTGAGCGTGAGCTCGTCAAGGATAACAAGCTTCTTGGAAACTTCCAGCTTGTTGGTATCCCTCCTGCCCACCGTGGTGTTCCTCAAGTCGAGGTTACCTTTGACATTGACGCCGACTCCATTGTCCACGTCCACGCCAAGGACAAGTCCACCAACAAGGACCAGTCTATTACCATTGCTTCCGGTTCCGGTCTCTCTGAGAGCGAGATTGAGCAGATGGTTGAGGACTCTGAGAAGTACGCCGAGACTGACAAGGAGCGCAAGAGTGCTATCGAGGCTGCCAACCGTGCCGACAGCGTCTTGAACGACACTGAGCGTGCTCTTAACGAGTATGCTGACAAGCTCGACAAGACCGAGGCCGACTCAATCAAGGAAAAGATCACCACTCTCCGTGAGTTCGTTGCCAAGAACCTCTCTGGCGAGGGCACTGCTACCGCTGCCGAGATTAAGGAGAAGACCGATGACCTCCAGGTTGCCAGCTTGAACCTCTTCGATAAGATGCACAAGGCCCGCAACGACAACAGCGGCGAGCAGTCCTCTTCCGAGCAATCTCAGGAGGGTGAGAAGAAGGATGAGACCAAGCCTTAAATGACTTGATCTGTGTTATAAAAATCTGTTACAATATCCGAGGAGTAGGTATCTGTGCGGCTCAGAGACCTTTACCTCCCCATGTATTTCACTGTATTCATATCCCGCCCAGCCGCTTTTACACTTTTTACCCATGTCTTGTTTCAGGGTTGGCGGATCAGGCGTTGGAGCTATAAAACCTCTATTGAGAGATATCTTTGGTTGTTTTTTCGAGATGATGTCACGCAATGGGGGATCATGTTGAATGTATCACGACTAGCCTTTCTTAGGTAGACTAATCACACATCCCCCCTCAAATAATGTTTACCAAGTGCTATCTATTATCTTCCAGTGATATATACTCGGTTTATGAAAATAATACTGCTTTCTAAGTGTTACGCTTAATGAAAGTTATATTATATATCTTGAGTATTGATGAAAGCTGTACTGTACATCTTGAAACAGTAAGAAAATATGAAAATGACTGTTATGACATCCACCCCCACGCAGTATTAAGTCTATTGACACCGTGCCAATGGATGGTCTTGGCCTTCTTCTGCCCTTCGTTTTCTTCTAAGCCTTCAAGCGGGCTGCCTCCATTTAACTCCATCATTGACCGCGCCGGTTTCAACTTGGAGGCGTGTGGGCCAGGTAGCTGAAATGTATCATATAGTGAACTTCGCTCATCTGGGTTTCGGAGCGGGTCTCGCTCTTCTCGGTGGGAAGCATCCTGGAATAGAAGCTGCCGAGACTCGATCTCGCGTTCTGATATAGGTCGAACCTTTTGTTCTTTCGTTTTTTTGCTTCTTCTGCTACTACCGCCTGACGAAGATGCTGCTTGAGAGGGTGGGTATGTGGTGGTGAGAAACCAGCCGCGGCGCTGGGACAGACGTCGTTCGAGAAGTTGTCGCAGGATTGAAATAAAGAGGGAGACAATGAAGAGGATAAATACGAATGCAATTACAGTTGCTGGGTAAGGGTGTATTGAGGCTGAGGGCTCGAGTTGCCCGTTGTTTGGTGATGGGTTTGACGATAGACTCTGATCCATTTTGTGCATGAAGGTATTAGGGTAAGTAGAAGCAGAAGCACCGCAGCACAATAAAGAAAGAAAGAAAGAAATATGACCTCGGAATCAAAGAGGAAGTGAGGCTAAGAAAAGTTAGTGAGCTTGGACCGCTTTATGAAGAGGCCTGACAAGCATCTTATGATAAAGGCCAAAGCCAAAGTGCAACCTGAGGGTTGTGAGATGAGGCTAGATGTTACTACAAGGATATCGTCTGGGGACAGTAAATAAACAAAGTTGTATCGGCCACAAAGCAAGCTACATGAAGAATCAAGCCTTATCTCTTACAGGAATGGAGTAGAATGAGACTAGGCAACGAGCATGGATCAAGGGTTATTGTAAGACATTGGACGAAGAATTGAAAGTGGATATACGCAAAACGTGCTAAGGGCATTGCGATCTAGATTCGCTGAGTTTATTTGACTATGATCTTCCGAATCCAAACCAGCCTCGCTTTGCTTGCTGAGGAGTTGAAGATTCGTCTGTCTTGGGCTCCTCAGCCTTAGCAGGTGCAGGGGCTTGCTTGGGAGGAGCCTTGCCAGCGTAGTCGATGTAATTCCATGCTACGTCGAGGAAGATGGGCTTCACAGGGATGGTGGCGAGCTTGGGAGGGAACTCGACGATGTGATCCAGGTTAGCGCCACCGGAGGGGTAATGATTCTGAGTCTCAATAAGAGGTCTCTTGACGGTCTCCGATACACTCAGCTCATGCTTCTTGCGAAGAATGTCAACATACACAATGGCACGATGACGCTGGAGTTCGCCGTTGAGGAGGTTCTGTAGATACTCAACATCTTCGGCAGAGACAGATAAGCTCAAGGGTGTCTTGTTTGGTGATCCATCAGACGCGGGCTCGTTAGACTGAGACTCTTCAACAAGACCGTCGGCATGGTTGATAAGAGCGAGCGCATCGGCGGGATTACCAGCGGTGGCATGCGAACGAGCAATAGCTAGCGCCCTGGAAAGATGTTAAACAAATGGTAAAAGTGAGAAGCAGGTTGAAGGCTTGTGACTTACTTGAGAGCCTCGAAATACTTAACGTAAGCGCCGATCTGCTCGGCCAGTCCCTGATCGTTGGCTACGCCAGGCAGCTCTATGATGGATTCAATGTTCTGTAGTATTCCGTCGTACAGAGCGACCTTTTCCTTGAGCTTGGACAGTTTCTTTCCTGTTGGGATGTCCTTTTCCTTGGCAGCTTCCTGGGCTGCCTTACCCTTCCCCTTCTTGGATGAGCCGTACTGGTCAAGTGCGCCGTCGTGTTCTCCTGTCAGAACTCTGCTACGTCCGATTCTCCAGCTAATGGTCTCGAAGTTGACGGCGGTACGTGTGATTTGCAAACTCTGCATTCGAGCGTCGCCCTGTTCCACGCCTTCGGCTCGCATCTCGTCGATTGCTTGCTTAGTAGCATCAACGGCGTCTTGGCTGAGCATAAGAATTTCGTCGTAAGCGCCAGCTAGCTCATAAGGCCCTCGCCCTTTAGGTGCAGCGAGATCGGCAGCCAGTCGTTCCTTTGCCGCCAGTACAGCACCCCAAGCCATCGCAATTTGCGCATCCTCGATGTTGACCTCTCTAGACCTCCATGTCAAAGTCTTGGGTGCGCCTTCGGCGCTAGCAATCCCATCCTTTGCCTTTGCTTCGCCTGATTTAAGAATGGTGGGATCGATATCGTTGATCTGTTTGATAAGATTGGCGTCAGATTGAGGGAAGGCCTTTCGGGCGATGATAGGAATCGGAACAGTTCGGGGCGTCTTGAGTTGGTATGCGGCATATCGAATTGAGGGATCGATAGTTTCAGTAAGTAGGTCCTTGTAGAGATCACCAGTTGTGGCAGCGGCGAGCGCACTGTAAATGACACGTGCCGCCGCATAATTCTGCAAACTCGCTTCCCAGCTCTGTTTTTCGAACGTAGTGGTACCACGGATAAGGTAAGCGTATGATTTGGCCTCGAGAAGATCGGTTTGAGAGGCGCCAGATACGTCGGTTTGGGAGAGGGCCTCGACAAGCTCGTCAGCAGTGCGAGTGGCCTTGATCAGACGAGAGGCGATATGCGATCGAGTTCGGCCCGTAATTCCCTTGGTATCGCTAGCATGACCGGCCCTCATCTTCATGATTTGGGCCCAAGACCGTTCGCTTGTAAGGAGGAGTAAATGGACATATCTAAAAGATGGTCAGGCCAGTTTGTGGTTGAATAGGTACTAAGTCAGGGTATGTCTACTCGTGGTTCTGGGCGATGTGCTCTGCGGTAATCCTTTCATGATCGCGAAACTTGCCACGATTCTTAGTGGAGATTCCCAGCTTCTTTCGACAAGATAGTAAACGCTTTGTGCAGCTCTTGTGGTAGGTCGAATAATCTCCGTAGAGGAGAGCCTGGTCGCGGCCCTGGACGACGAATTTGGTGATGTCCATACTGCGTTGCGGTTTAACAGGAGCTAACTTGGAAGTGAAAATATGCGGTTAGCAATGCTGGATGAGCAGGCCGGAGCTCTGGGTCGAGCTGATGCGATGGCCGAAGAGGTGAGGTCGATAAAAGGACTAGATGAGGCTTGACGTGGAGGTTTAGCGGGGGATCCAATTCAGCAACAAACAAGGTGGGCGAAATGGCGGGGCACTACACTTTGCTCATCCACAAAAATTCGAGGTGCAGTAAATTGTTAGTGGTGGCACAGCTAATAAACATTGTGTTGAACTCGATGATGACAAAAATGAAGAAGTAGTAAAATATCTAAAAGTTAGAGCAATTCAATCTTGAAACTTTAGTTAAGAATATACCACAATTGTTCAGTACAGTAATATTTATCGAATTGACGAATAAGAATGTCCCTTGTTAGTATCATGAAATATCGGTCTGTCTACTAATGGACTAACTTGACTGATTGATAGACGGGGTATCTAGATAGATGATCAAAGCACGTACATCTAACCTGCACAACATAATAAACAATGGCTTGTTAAGTTGATTTCATATGCTCGCTTGTGTGATTTCAGCTCGAGGTCTGGAAACTTAGAAATAGCCACTTCTAAAATAAGGCTAGTATGGAGATTTATATTCAACCACTGATAGCATCTAGGCATTCAGTTTTTAATGGATATAAATCAGGAATTGTCATGGAATTCCTTGATTATTTCCCACATCATCAGCGTATAGACCCATTATTAGATACGTTAGTAACTTTTATTACTGGACCTTGAGCCAATCTTGTTGATATGTAGTCAGAATTGACAGAGAGAAAAAGCCTCGAATGCGTCCCGTCGTTGATCATGTGCCCGTAGAGCCCACGCTGGGCGCCTGAAGCTAAACCAAGATAGGCAGAAGGTGCCCACCTTTTTGGCGAACTTGTGGCTGCGTGACCACTGCACTTCAAATCTTGAGCGTAAAAGTCACGCTTTGTCACGCGCCAGGGGACGTGCTTCACCAAATCGAAATCTACAATACAAGCACCTACAGCGTAAGGCACCTAATTCTAATAGAGCAGAGCAGAGCAGCGCATTACAGTTCAGTTCAGTTCAGTTCAGTTCAGTTCAGTTTAATACACAAACCAAGTTATTCTACCAAAACTTATTCTTACCTTTTCTCTTCTCCCTCCCACTTGCTTCCTCTTCCATCTCAAATTCCCCCAGTTCATCTCATCCCGTGAAACTGGGGTGCCCTGTTCCTCCCCTTGCCCCTCGTCCTCGATAAAGAATATAGGCGGCTTATCATCGCATCACCTCGCCTCTCATCGCATTGCTTCGCCTTTGCATCTTCAACGCCAAAACTCCAATCCTTCTGGGCCAGAACCGCGGGCGCTCTTCCTTTTCATCTCGTCACTTATACATAGTCACCTAAATCATCGGGCAGTCACCTAGTGGTGCAACACTTCTTATGAGAGCGGAATCTCTTCTCATACATTTGACCCATCCAACGCCTTCCTCAAACTGCATCCTGCAAGTAGCCGCCTGCCACCCGCGGCCACTATAAAGAGATGGCTACAAATGGTAAGTTTTTTTTGTCAGCAATTGATTCTTTTCTCTTTTTGGCGCCACTCTTATCAACTTCAAATTCATTCTATCTTCCATGTCTAACCTTGTCTACAGGCCAGCCATCTCGCTCCGCAAGCGGTGTTCCACCTTGGAACCCAGCCGTCTTGCTGCAGCCAAACCACAGAGCTGCTTCGAGCCCAAACCTTGTAAATGCTGCTCATGGGCAGTTTTCACCTTCTCCTATGCATCAGAGCCAAACATACCAGCAGCGAGCTCAAATGAACATGAACAGTAACAACAACTCCATGGTCTTTCAGTTCTCCAGTCCCAACGACACCCCATCTGCTGGTCCCTCTAGCCGGTCATCTACTCCAGGTAGCAGTTACGCAAACGGGTTCAACGGCACGGGCAGCTTTATTGAGCGCATGAATAATGTTCAGCATCGTTCTGTGGTCCCTCAGCCAAAGCGACGGAGAACCGAGGATAGCGATGGCGTGCACCAGTTTATGACTCCTCCGGTCCACGGTGGAGGTGGAGTTCTGAGCCAATATGTCACGGATAAACGAAAGGAAGCTAACAGTGCAACCGCTTCACCTTCCATGATGACAGTTGATCTCACCAGTGGTAGGCCCCTTCTTCCTAACTCTGCTACAAGGCTTTTACTAACATGCCTAGGAAATGACGACGATGATGTTATCGTGCAAGATCCCCGAGAAGAAGAAGTATGCTACGGAATGATCAAGGCTCGTTTGGGCTGCTCTCGGGTTCCCTCGCCCAAGCCGGGCGCGCAGAGCATCTGGGGTCCGGGCTATCAGCCCGCAATCAAAGTTGTGCTCAAGCGACAGATTAATGATACATCGCTTAAGATACAAGCATACGATCATACACGACAGATCATTGGTCTGGTCGAACCTCAAAGTGCCAGGGCTGTCGCTCCTCTTCTCGATTCAAACATCCACCTGAGAACAGATGTGCGAATTCCACCCCAGCCCAAGAGAGTCGGAGAGGAACCTGGCCAGCCGACCTCACGATCGTACGACCTCGATATTGTCATGTATGGGCCGGTCAAGTACGCGAGGAACGTAGGTACACATCTGGGCAAATTTGGCCAGAAGTTGACAGCCCCTTACCTTGTCCAAAAGGGTATTCGGGTTCAGAACCCGCACGTTCTCGAATATCGTCCTCCGCCCCCAAGGTCATACCCACCTAATCCCACTCACGAAGGCCAAACTACTTCGTACGGAAGCACTATTACCAACCGAACCGTGGAGGAAATTCGTTCAGAAGTTATGGGCGTGTTCGATTCCCTTGCACGAAACGATGATTTGCCCGAGATGGAACCCAGTTCCAACATCTTGACGCCTTTACTTAAGCACCAGAAACAAGGTTTGTTCTTTATGATGACCAGAGAGAAGCCTCGCGAGGCCCAGGCCGACCAAAAGACTATGGTTTCCTTCTGGCAGGACAAATGGGGACAGGCTGGGCAAAAGATGTACTTCAATGTCATCACTGGGCAAAGTCAAGCCAGACCACCGGCGGAAACTCGGGGAGGAATTTTGGCTGATATGATGGGTCTCGGCAAAACATTGAGCATCTTGTCGTTGATTACGACTTCGGTCGAGGCAGCTTATGCGTGGGAGCAACAAGCACCCGTCCAGCCAGAAGCGCCGGAACAGAAACCAACCAAGCACGAAGTTCTGTCACAGCAGCCTACCCTTGCGCTGACACCCTTGGTACAAAATGCAAAGACTACTTTGCTCGTCTGTCCTCTCAGTACAGTAACAAACTGGGAAGAACAGATCAAGCAGCACGTCCAGCCCGGCGCTCTCAGCTACCACATCTACCATGGCCCCAACAGAATTAAGGACCCAGCAAGACTCGCCGCTTTCGATCTTGTAATCACCACGTATGGCTCGGTATCCAACGAGCTCAGTTCTCGTCGAAAGGGAAAGGAAGGCCAGCACCCCCTAGAACAGATTGGATGGTTCAGAATTGTGCTCGACGAAGCCCATATGATTCGCGAGAGCAGTACTCTCCAGTTCAAAGCCATTTGCAGACTTCAAGCGGACAGACGGTGGGCTGTTACCGGCACACCAGTTCAGAATCGGCTGGACGATCTTGCGGCTCTCCTGGCATTCCTTCGCCTACATCCTTTCCATGATCGAGCCAAGTTCCTCCGATACATCGTGGAACCTTTCAAGGCATGTGATCCCGAGATCGTGCCCAAGCTACGAATTCTCGTGGATACAATCACGCTGCGCCGGTTGAAAGACAAAATCGATCTGCCTCCTCGAGAGGACCTAGTGATCAGACTCGATTTCAGCCCAGATGAACGCAGTATCTACGACTTGTTCGCGAAGAATGCACAGGATCGAGTCAAGGTGCTCGCTGGAACTCATAATGGCGGCCAGGCACTTGGTGGCAACACCTACATACATATTCTCAAGGCAATTCTACGACTTCGTCTGTTGTGTGCACACGGCAAAGATTTGCTAAATGATGCTGACCTGGACACGTTACAAGGAATGTCCGCAGAGATGGCGATCGATATCGACGACGATGACGATGACGACAGCAAGCCAGCACTTTCCGATCAAAAGGCACACGAGATGTTCACCCTGATGCAGGAGACTAACAATGACACGTGCATAGAATGCAGCAGAAAGCTTGGTTCGAACGAGAGCTCCAATATCGAAGCAGAGGGGCAAGATGACATCCTTGGGTTCATGACTCCTTGTTTCCATATTATCTGCCGGACTTGCATCAAGACGTTTAAGGAACGGGTGAAGTCAGTGACTGCATCTGGCAGCAACAGCGGAAACTGCCCGGTCTGCAATGTGTACGTGAAACATGCTTTCGTGCAGCTTCGCCGAAGGGAGGTGGATGCGGAGCATGACGGCCCAGCCAAACCAAAGTCTCGGAATGCTGTCAAGAATTTTGACAAATATGAAGGCCCCCATACCAAGACTCGTGCCTTGATTGAGGATCTCTTGAAGGCGAAAGCGGCGAGTGATGCAAACCCTAACGAACCCCCATACAAGTCAGTTGTCTTCTCCGGCTGGACATCTCACCTGGATCTCATCGAGCTTGCCCTCGATGCCAACGGTATTGTTTTCACTAGACTGGACGGAAGCATGAGCCGCACGCAACGAACCACAGCTATGGACAGATTCCGAGAGGACAACACGGTTCATGTGATTCTTGTATCCATCATGGCTGGTGGACTGGGTCTGAACTTGACTGCCGGAAACAGCGTGTACGTAATGGAGCCGCAGTACAACCCAGCGGCTGAGGCTCAGGCTATCGACCGTGTCCACCGATTGGGACAGAAACGGCCTGTTCGCACCGTTCGATACATTATGAGAGACAGTTTCGAGGAGAAAATGCTGGAGCTTCAGGAGAAGAAGAGAAAGCTTGCCAGCCTAAGCATGGATGGTCAGAACAGG